CGGGGGCGGCGCGCAGAGATCCACAACGGGGCCACCACGACGCGAGCCCGTCGTGCACGACCCCGCCCTGGGGCTCTGCAGGGCGGCCCTCCGTCGCGGCTCGCTCCCGCGGCCCCAGGGGGGGCTCGGCGCGCGGCGCGCGTGCCGAGCCCGAACGAAGCACCCTCCTTGGATCGCCGCGGGGGCAACGACAGGGGGGAATCGGCTTGCACGTTGTTCACTTCTGATTATTCGAGAGTTATTCGGTTCCATTCATTTCTAGTTCTTCTATCCTGGGCCTCTTCCTGGCAACTAGGGGGCCAGGAACAATTAGAAACGAGCACAATTAGACATGAGCACGATTTGAACTTAACGACGTATAAGTCGGGCATGTCCCTCTACAGGAGGAATATTCAAACATATTCCAAACATAGTCTGGTGGCAGGATTTGTTCCGAGCATGGTTGATTCTTTTCGGATCTTTGTTTGGCGCATTTTCCGCTGTTCCTCCGAACTCCGCCTGTAGGAGGACATGCCCGACCTAAGCCAAGGGAGGAAAAACCATCCGGACTCGATAACTGGCGTTTGCTAAACGGCCCTGGGCGTTTACTAAGCAGCTTTGCTCTGTTCGATTCCGTTGGTGTGTGCTTTTCCTCAACGGAATTGTTTCAACGGCCTTGCTTTTCGGGGTGGTTATCATGGGGTGTTTTTGTCTGCCCTCTGCTCAGGATCGGCTCAGGGGGGGGGGCGTCATCGACCCCCAAGGCACGCATTCATCGCCCGCCGCGGGCCCGAGAGCCCGCCTCGCCCCGGAGATCTGCGGATCGGCGGGCCTGTCGCCGAGATCTGTCGTTATATGTCGGGCATGCCCTGCTGCACAAGGAGTGCTCAACACAATCGTAACAGAAACGCTGGGGACGCTTTTTCGATTTGTTTGTGATTCTTTTGGGATGCTTTTCTTCTGGCGATTTTTGATTTTTCGTCCACAGTCCGCTTGTAATTAGGGGGACATGCCCGACCTAATTCTATCGGCGACGTCTCGCCGAGTCGACCTCGATGCCCCCCCTCCCTTGAGCTGCCCCCCCCGAAACGTTGCCCCTCAGGGAGAGAGTGGACACCCATGCCAAGAAACACCCTGTTTGCCTCCAGGGTGCCCTTGGTTCTTTAGTTTCGATGGTCTTGCCATGGGAAGCGCGACGTTCCCACGCCAAACATCAATGCACGTCCTGACTTTCCAGGGTTCACAGTTTCTTGTGGAAGGTTTCTTGTGGTCGAGCTCCTACTCTAGTTGGGTTGTAATTCGATTTACATTGGGCTGCAAGTGCCCTAAGCGGCTTAGTGGAGTTCGCGATCCGCCCAGTCAGGGGAGTTCTCTACCCCTCCACGACTCGGGTAACCCGCTTATGAGCCAGGTTATGCCAGGCATAATCCACCTCGGCACCCCCCAAAATTCGGCGGCGAGCCCAGGGGGGGAAGAGAGAATGCGCGGGCCTTCTCAGAAGGCTCGGAAGTCCTGCAGCCTTCTGAGAAGTTTTCTATGTCTTCCCCGAAGACATAGAAAACTTCTCAGAGGGCCAGAGGGCTTCTGAGAAGCCCAGGCGCCTGCTGAGAAGGCCTTCTCCTTCTCACTTCCCCCGCTCGCTCGCGGCCGAATAGTCCCCCTATTCCCTACTTCCCCCGCTCGCTCGCGGCCGAATAGTCCCCCTATTCCCTATTCCCGGAGCAGCCCCCGCGCCGATCCAAGTGCCGCTGGCTTTGCTTCGGTCTCGCCCTCTGGGGCCTCCTCCGAGGACCCAGACCCCGGAAGTCATGATCTGCTCATAACCTCGACCCCCCCAGGTCTCGATCCGTTCCCCGGGATAGGTTTATCATACGAAGTCGTTCTTTGATGGTCCCGAGGCCCGGTAAGGACCCCCACAGTCTGAAAACAGCGCAAACCCTGCCGTCCGGATTTTTCATGACTCGAGGGTGTCTGGGTTAGCGTTTCTCTCGCTCCCCGCGTGCAGAGGGTTTCTGATCAGCGGACATGCCCGCCTCAGGCGGCGGCCATCTGCGCACCAGCGTAGCGGCAGACGCCTGGCACACCCAAGCACGCACGAAAGGCGCACCTAATTTTTGATTACGAGCTGAAGAGTCCCACCAGTCCTCTGTGCGCAAGTGGAGGCTCAATGAAGAACACGTCCCGCATATCATGGCGTTGCACTTGTTTCAAAACGGGCGCCTTCGCCGACTTCCAGGGCCCGGGGCCCTCTGAGATCGATCTGGCTCGAAACATGTAGCAGGAAGGTGCGATCCAGGGCTTTGGATAAGGAAGTACCCTAACCATGAACATAAGCGAAGGACAAAGCGAATCACGACTGTGCCGGGCCCCTGGACCGTAGCAAAAACGACCCAGGATGAAAAGCCAGTGCCCAGGACTGGGTCGAGACCTCCTGGGGTCGACGTTGCAACCAGCAGCATCCAAACTGCACCTTCGGCGCTCCGTGCGGATTTTTCGGATCGGCGCTGGGCCCCGCCCCGGGCGGCGCTTCCAGCGCCGCCCGTGGCGCGCTCGGCGCGCCAGGGAGGGGCCCAGCGCCGACCCGAGAACCCGACGCGGTGCTTCGAAAGTGAGTGTTTCGTGATGGACCCACGGTCCACCCTTGCTACCAGATGTAGGATGAGGAACTCCTCCTCCTCCCTCCTCCTCCTCCTCCTCCTCCTCCTCCTCCTCCTCCTCCTCTCCTTCCTCCTCCTCCTCCTCCTCCCTCCTCCTCCTCTCCTCCTCCTCCTCCTCCTCCTCCTCCTTCTCCTCCCCCCTTCCTCCTCCCCCTCCCCTCCTCCTCCCCTCCTTATCCTCTCCCCTCCTCCTCCTCCTTCTACTCCTCCTCCCCCTCCTCCCCCTCCTCCCCCTCCTACATGTGGTAGTGGTGGTGGAAAATGGGCCCATCATTTCATGCTTCTAATGTTCATGGCCCTCCCCGCCTTCCTTTCCCCTGTGCCCCTCTCCCTGACCATTGCGTGCACGCTGCCCTGCGAGCGTGCCAAGGGGCACGTCTCGTTTTGCACACGAGCGACGCAAACAAACTGTGTCGTCGTCGCCGGCATTGGTGGGTAAGCTGCCCGCGTAAGGTCGCGCGTAGGCGCCCTCGTCTCCACTGTAGCGTGCCGCGCTGGCGGCTCGCGTAAGCTGCGTCATGGCGGCTAGGACCCGTTTTTGATCGTCGCTCACATGCCCACGCGTCCACTCGGGAGCACGGCCTTTCGCCTGTCTGTAGACAGGGCCCCATTGTGGTGCAGGGCGGCTCCCTCCGGGGGCCTGCTTCCACATCGGGGGCGGCGAAGAGGGGGTGACGACTAGGGGGGGGTGGCTCGGGCCATGATGTCTTCCATATTTCTGGGCGCGTCTCTGGATTTCAATACGCCCCCTGGCCGCGTCCCCCTGGGCCGCGCACATGGCGCTGGCCATGGTTCGTTCCCCTCTCCCCCCCCCTCTTGGGCGCCCCCCCTCGTGCACGCCCCCGTCGAACAGCGCGGAGCCTTGGACGGGGCTAGGACGACGATAAGTCCGTTGTAGAGCGCTCCGGATCTCTCCCAGAGCGTTCCAGGGCGACCTGAGAGAAGGCCGCGGCGCCCGAGGCATTCTCCAGAACCGCCGGATCTCAGAGATTCCCGATCTATCCCCACCCGGTGTCATCCTCGTCCTGGCTTCGAATTGGAGCACCGCCATGTTGTTGTTGTTTCTTGAACTCTCATTTCTGAAGAATAATTATTGTTGATCCCCCCACCAGTGCACACTGTTTTTTTCTCAGTGAAAGTGCGCCCCTCGACGCTCGCACACTGTTTTTTGACAGGGAAAGTCTTGATCCTCAAAGTGCGTTGTTGCCCCCCCGGATTACAACAACAACGGCTCCCGCTTGAGACTTCCTCACAATTTACTCATGACCCCCGCTCCTGCCTGAGACTTCCTCATAATTTACTCAGGATCGGCGCTCCCGCTTGAGACTTCCTCGCAATTTACTCAGGACCCCCGCTCCCGCCTGAGACTTCCTTACAATTTACTCAAGGGACGGCGCTCCAGCTTGGTACCTCCCGCACAACTGAGCTACGTTGAACTCTCATAACGGCGCTCCCGCTTGGGACTTTCTTCAAACTCTCATTCTTGAAAAATAATTATTGTTTTCATACGCCCCTCTCCGAGGGAATAGAGCTCAGAGGCGATTAGTGCGTACGCGCGGCCGCGCGGCCCCGCGCGGCCGCGTCTGGATTTTTTCCGGCCGTTTCGCTTGGGACATCCTTGGGATTTTGAAAATCGGTGACACCCCTCACGCAGATCGCGACGTCATCGCGCGTCGCCTCGCCAGCGCCTGCCGCTGAGGCTTACCCTTCTCGCACAAGCAGATCCTGGCGCTGTAGTAATGGCGCTTCGTTATTGCATATAGCTGATCACATTCCCGCACGCGCGAATCCCCGCATTGTGATTGATGACATCGGGCTCCGATTTCACCTCCCACGGGGCCGCTGGGCAACAACACTGTCCACTGCCGTATTTCGCTTTCCTGCACGCAGTGACCCCGGGGTCTCAGTGTGGGTTGCCGCTGATATCTGCTTGCGACAAGTGAAATGGGGTCTCACCGACAAGTGCCAGAGCTCGCTGTCTCTGATTGCGGGTTCGCCTCCCGCGCTTCTCCAAGTACACGTGGCCGGGGATAAATATGACCCCCCATAAGAGGGGTACGATCGAAGACGAAGAGGGCGGGTATCCAGGGTTTGGGATATGCATAGTGAATGACACGCGGGCAGCTGGGAACGAGCAGTCTTATAAGGATTGTTGTTGTTGTTGCTGTTGGTGTTGCTTTTGGTGGTGGTGTTGTTGTTGTTGTTGTTGCTGTTGCTGTTGTTGTTGTTGTTGTTGTTGTTGTTGTTGTTGTTGCTGGTGCTGTTGTTGTTGTTGTTGTTGTTGTTGTTGTTGGTGGTGGTGGTGGTGTTGTTGTTTTTGTTGTTGCTGTCCCTGCTCTTGGCGTCTCTTCGCGCTCCTCCGGAGAGGCGGCGAGCGGGCGCCCGATGGGCCGCGGCACGCCCGCGCAGGCGGTGCCGCAGGCGCCGGGCCAGACGGCCTAGGGCTCTTGCTCCTCTTTCTCCTCCTTTTCCTCCTGCTCCTCCTCTGTCCACCTCATCCATCCTTCCCCCCCCCCCTCCTCCTGCTCCTGCTGCTGCTGCTCCTCCTCCTCCTGCTCCTGCTGCTGTTCCTCCTCCTCCTCCTCCTCCTCCTCCTCCTCCTCCCCCTCCCCCTCCTCCTCCTCCTTCTCCTCTCTCCCCTTCCTCCTCCCCTCCTCTACTCTCCTCCTCCTCCTCATTCCTCCTCTCCTCCTCCTTTTGCTCCCTTTTCTCCTTTCCCTCCTGCCTCCTCCTCCTCCTCCTCCTCCTCCTCCTCCTCCTCCTCCTCCCTCCTCCCTCTCCTCTTATCCTCCTCCTCCTCCTCCACCCCTCCTCCTCCTCCTCCTCTCCTCCTCCTCCTCCTCCTCCTCTTCCTCCGCCTCCTCCTCCTCCTCCTCCTCCTCCTCCTCCTCCCCCCTCCTCCTCCTCCCCTCCTCCTCCTCCTCCTCCACCCCCTCCTCTTTCTCCCCTCCTTATCCTCCTCCTCCTCACTCGAGTCTGGGACGATCGACTCGGGTACGACATGTTCGCGTCGTGTCGACCAGTGGCGACCCCGCCGTTGGCGATCAGCGTTCAACGCCGCCGGCGACCCAGAGTGTGTCGATGTTGAACGAGCTGACGTTTCGGAAACGGCCGATCGTTCCAGGTTGAACGGTCCCCGCAGTGTCAGGAACCAACGCTTGGGTCGACACGACGCGAGCCTGACGCAGAGGAGGAGTTGGCACGATGACTGACAGTAGCTCCTGTCCAATTGGAACAGGACTCGATGTCGGCGTCGCCGCAGATGCTGTCGTTTTGATTCAGAAGGCCGCCTGCCCAACAGCAGCCGCTGTCGGAATTGGACAACTTATGTTGTTGGGCACCGTGCCCATTTTGTTCCCTTCCCATTTCTGGCGTCCAAGTCGAAGGTCGCGGGTTTCGGGTGTTCGAGGTTCGAGGTTCTCGCTATTGCGCAGGCCTTGCGGCCGGTGCCGCCGACCTTAAAAAGGGACGGCGACGACGACGGCGACGACGCGGACGGGCAGGTTAGGGATTCGAGCGTCGAGTTTTTCGGGCGTGCGAGATTCGATATGTTCGGCGTTTTTGTATGATCCTCGGAGGTTTCTCGGCGTCGGGCTTCGCTTCCACAGCTGCGCCTCGCCGAGAGCGTGCGGGGGGGGGGCGGGCGGATCGCTCCGAGTGGTGGCCGCCAGAGGCTTGAAGAATTGTGACCCGAACGGGGGCGGACGACGCTAATGGTAAGTCGGGCTTGTCTCCCTACAGGAGGGACATTCAAACATCGGCGGTTGAGGGGTGAGATCGCAGTGGAACGGAGACCCCCAACCGGGAAATCGTTTCGTTTCGTTCGTGTCGTGCGTGCGGGCGGGGCGAAGCTGCGCGGGCGCGCGACGGGACTGAACCCGCCGTTGCTAGGGCGAAGATAAGACAAATGACTATACTCCGTCCGCCTGTGGCCCTCGGTGTCCCGCCGTGTCCCGTGGTGCCCCGTGGTGTCCCGTTGGGTAAGATCGATAGTGAGATCGATTGAGTCGGATGGTGGTTCCCCCCCTCTCACCCTCCCACGACCTCCTTATCACCCGAAGGGTGGTCGTATAGGTATCAAACATATTTCAAAAGTAGTCCCCCAGTCCCCCTGTAGGGGAGCATGCCCGACCTAAGGTCACATGCTGGTCTGTCCCAGGAGCAGCGGCAGCGTGGGGGGGGGAGGCGGCAGGCTCAAGAACTTTGGCTCCGCGTGTCGTGCCGCCGTGCTCTGGCCCACCACGCTTCGACGCGACACGCCGACCACGCCATGGCCCGCGAGCATCGGCGGTCCGAGCATCTCCTGGCCTCCCGCTTCGCGGAGCGGAGCGACGCGCTGTCCGCTTGTGGGGCATGCCGTGTCGCCGTGGCCGCCGCTGCGACACGCTAGGCAGCAAGTCCTGACCGTGCGCCCATCGGGGGGGGGCTGCATCGACCCCCCCACCGCCCATTCGTGGCCGACTCTCGAGGCCTGGCAGATCGCCCCGCCCAACAGCGTACGGTTTCGCCGTTTGGGCCCTGGCGCCGATGTGTCGGCGCCGATTCCAGCTCGATGTTCTAGACGCTTCGCGTAGCCTCGCCAGGCGTGTGCAATTTAGGCTCCTGCTGGTTAGCGGTAGCTCTGGACGGCGCGCGGCCTTTCCTTTTGCGTTCGCGATCAAACAATAAGACCACCAGGCGAGTTGCCTTGATCAGGGCTCTGGAGGTGCATGCCGTGGAATCCGTGGTTGGGGAAGCCTTCATACCTCAAGAGGGGGAGGATGCAGGAGGAGGAGGAGGAGGAGGAGGAGGAGGCGAAGGGGGAGGGGTGGTGAGAACGGAGGAGGGACGAGGAGGAGTAATTGGGCGGATGAGGAAGAGGAGGATGAGGATGAGGAGGAGGAGGAGGAGGAGGAGGAGGAGGAGGGCGAGCAGGAAGGCCAGAAGCCTCTCGGATACCTCTCCGTGTCTCCTCGGATGTCTCTCGAGAGTTTCTTGGAGTCCCTTTGAGCGTCTTGGGTGCCTTCGGGAAGCCTCATAGGGCCTCTCCGGGATTTCGTGGGAGCCTCTTTCGGGCCTCCTGGGAGCTCTTTGGGCCCCCTTGGCGCCTCTTGGGGCCTTCTTGGGGCCATTTTGGGAGCCTTGGGGACCATCTCGGGGCCATCCTGGAGGAGATCGATCAAAGAAGGGGGGCACGTCGCACCCCCGCCTCCCCTCAGGAGGCCAACCTTGGCCCATAACTTCAGTCAGAGTGATGGGGGCCGAACGATCATTCGGTGCGTGGCTGAAGTATGCTTCCGCGGTGCGGATTCAAGTTTCAGTTCTAAAGTATGATAAATGGTTGATCTCCCCTATTGTGACCATTGAATATTTCAATTAAATTGCTTCTCCCTGGGCTCGCACCCAGCTTCTCACATGGGAAATGAAGTGTCGCCATGCTGTGCCCCTGGCCCCGAAATACAACTACAACGGCTCCCTCCTGATCGCGCTCTCGCGCGGGACGTCCTCACAATTTATTCAGGAATCGCGCTCTCGCGAGGGACTTCCTCGCAATTGATTCAGGCGCCGCGCCCTCGACACTCAGGAATCACGCTCTCGCTGTGGATTTCCTCACGTTCTTATTTGGGAATCACGCTGCCCCTCGAGACTTCTTCGAGCTTCATGCAGGACGCACTGTTCAGCGTCCCGCCTGCTCGGCAGGGCCACCTGGTCTCGCCTTCCGGACGCGCCCGTTAGGGTCTGGCGCCCGATCTGCACGTTTGGTTCTGCCACGGGCTTTCTGTTCCAAGCCCCCCCTTTCCTGCTAATCTCTCTAGTGTCATCCTTCTCCCTCCCCCTTTCCATCCGTCCTCTCTTTGGGGCTGCATTGAATGCACGTGGCAGGGAAGGAAGATATACCCCCAATGGGGTACGATCGACGGCGAAGCGGGCAGGTACCGAAGTGTTGGAATATACGTGTTGAATGGCCCGCGAGCAGATAGGAGCGAGCAGTCTTAAACTGCTTATTGTTGTTGTTGCTGCTCCTGTTGCTGTTGCTGCTGCCGTTGCTTCTGCAACTGCTGCTTATATTGTTGTTGGTGGTGTTGGTGTTGTTGTCGTTGTTGCTGTTAATGTTAAGGTTGTTGCTGTTGGAGTTGTTGTTGCTGTTGTTGTTACTATTGTTGTTGAATAGGAGCGGGCGCCAGACCCCGGCGCTCCCCCCAGCAACAATAACAACAATCAGTTTACCCTCATGCGCGATGTCTCCACACAAAGCATGCGACCGTCATGATAATCATCCCCATCTTGGGGGACTATTGTTCTATAGCGGGGTCCGTTATTCCCATTCCCAGATCTCCCGCCCAATGACCACTTGCAAAAACCTCCGAAGAATTTCAACATATCCCGCTTCGAAAACGCATGCCCGCGCCTTGCTGCGCCGATGCGAGACCGCCAGTGGAGCCCCAGCCAAGGGTAAAGCACAAGGAAGTAGCGAGCGACAGTATTGCCTTGGTGTGGATGGGGGCTGTGGGCAGCGAGGCAAGGACCTGGCCCTGAATAGAAAGGGAGGAAGTCTCGAGCAGGGCCGCTGTTGTTGCTTGGAGCGGCGCCAATGCTGCAGAGAGTAGGGCGCTTGTCCAGCGTAAAAGAAAACGAAGTCTCGAGCGGGAGCGCTGGTTTTGTTGGGACGGCGGTTGTCGGCGGCGAGGAGGAACACGGCCTTGAGTAAGAAGGGAGGAAGTTTCGTGCGGGAGCCGTGGTTTTGTCGGGACGAGGGCTGTCGGCGGCGAGGAGTACCACCGTCCTGAGGAAAAGGGGAGGAAGCCTCGAGCGGGAGTTCTTGCTGGGAGCGGCGCCAATCCAAAAGAGAGCACCCAGCGTAAAAACGGGAGGATGTCTCGGACGGGAGCGCTGGTTTTGTCGGGACGGCGGCTGTCGGCGGCGAGCAAGAGCACCGGCCCTGAGTAAACAAGAAGGAAGGCTCGAACGGGAGCGTTGAACATTATTAATTCTAAAGAATAATTATTGTTGGGCCCCCTGGTGCGCGCCCCCCCCGCCGCGCCTAGGCCGCAGCCACGTTTTCATCATTTTCGTGAGGAAGCCTCAGGTAATTCGAGGTGATCAAGATCCGGTTGTTTTGTTGTAATCCGTTTTCCCTTGCAAAAAACACTATAAAATGAAATTTCTTGTTCAAATATAATCAAATTTCAAGAATCCCTTGCAAAAAATAAGGTAAAGTGGACATTCGCGCGCGCAAGACGAAATCCTTCCAAAAGCTTAGTGTTCGGAACGATTTCAACATAAAAACATCAAAAAACCAATGGTTTTTCAACAAAAAAATGTCAAAATCTCATCCCGCGCGCTCTTGCGGATTCGTAGGAAACCCAACACTTTTTAAACATTTCTGTCAAACGGGCTTTTGCGAGCAACTTTTTCGAACTTCTGCGACAACGGTTGCGCAC